AATCCCAGCACTTTGGGAGGCCGAGGTGAGTGGATTACCTGAGCCCGTGGGTTCGAGACCTGCCCGGGCAACTTGGCAAGACCTCATCTCTACAATAAATCAAAACTTAGCTGGGTGTGGTAGTGCGCGCCTGTAGTTCCAGCTACTTGGAAGGTTGAGGTGGAAGGATTGCAGGAGCCCAGCAGGTTGAGACTGGGGTGGCTGGGAGCGTGCCACTGCACTCCAGTCTGGGCGACAGAGTGAGACTCCAACTCAAAAAAAAGAAAAAGAAATTAGTTGAGTGTGGTGGTGCATAACTGTAGACCTAACTATTCAGGAGGATGGGGCAGGAGGATTACTTGAGCTCGAGAGGTGATGGCTGCAGTGAGCTATGATGGCACCACTGTACTCCAACCTTATGACAGTGTGAAACTATGTCTTTAAAAAAAAAAAGAAAGAAAGAAAGAAAAAGAAAAAACAGGCAAAATAATAGAACAGACATTTCACCCAAAAAAGATATATGAATAACAAATAAGCACATGAAAAGATATTCAACATCATTAATCACTAGGCAAATTCAAATTGAAACATCCTTGAGACGTCACTATACACTCACTAGAAGGGCTAAAATTAGAAAGTGTTGATGAAGGTATTTTTTTTTTTTTTATTTTCTTTGAGTTGGAGTTTCACTCTGTTGCCCAGGCAGGAGGGCAGTGGTATGCTCACTGAAGCCTTGATTTGCTGGCTCAGGCGATCCTTCCAACTCAGCCTTCCAAGTAGCTGGAACTACAGACGTGCACCACATGCCTGGCTAATTTTTTGTGTGTGTGTGAGTTGGAGCCTCACTCTGTCGCCCAGGCTGGAGTACAGTGGAAAAGAGGGGGCTAGAGCACCCCTCCTCAAGATCTTCCTCAAGGTCCTAGACTGAGTCCATGTGACACGCTCACAACCATTGCAGCCTCGACCTGCTGGGCTTAGGCGATCCTCCCACCTCAGCCTTCCAAATAGTAGCTGGAACTACAAACGTATGCCACCATGCCCGATTAATTTTTGTGATTTATTGTAAAGACGAGGTCTCACCAAGTTGCCTAGGCTGGTCTCGAACCCCCAGGCTCAGGCATTCCTCTTGCCTCGGCCTCCCAAAGTGCTGGGATTACAGGGTGAGCCAACACGCCGGGCCCTAAGTTTTTATTTATTGTCGAGACCAGGTCTCACCAAGTTGCCCAGGCTGGTCTCGAACCCCTGGACTCAAGCAATCCTCTCACCTCAGTCTCCCAAAGTGCTGGGATTACAGGTGTGAGCCACAGGCCCGGATAGCCAATATCTTTTTTTTTTGAGTCGGAGTCTCACTCCATTGCCCAGCCTGGAGTGCAGTGGCATGCTCACGGTCACCCCAGCTATGACCTGCTGAACTCTAGTGATCCTTCTGCCTCAGCTTTCCAAGTAACCAGAACTACAGGCGCGCACAACCATGCCCAGCTAATTTTTTGATTTATTATAGAGACGAGTCTCGCCAAGTTACCCAGGCTGATCTCAAACCCATGGGCTCAGGCAACCCGCTGGCCTTGGCCTCCCAAAGTGCTGAGATTACAGGCTAAGCCACTGAGTCCAGCCGCCAATTATATCTTAAAAGCAGGTAGTAAAGAGAGATCATCTACAAGAAAATAACAATTAGACTAGCAGACTTCTTTACAGACAACATGCACTGTGCCGTTTTGTTTTGTTTTGTTTTGTTTTGTTGGAGTCAGAGTCTCACTCTGTAGCCCAGGCTGGAGTGCAGTGGCACACTCACAGCTACCGCAACCTTGACCTGCTGGGCTCAGGTGGTCCTTCTGTCTCAGCCTTCCAAGTAGCTGGAACTACAGGCACGTACCACTGTGCCCAGCTAGTTTTTAAAATTTATTGTCGAGATGAGGTCTCCAACCCTTCGGCTCAGGCAATCCTCTAGCCTCTGCCTCCCAAAGTTCTGGAATTACAGGCATAAGCCACAGAGCCTGCTGTGCCTATTATATGCCTACACTGTCCTAGGTACTTGGAACACAAGCATGAATAGGACACACCCAGCCCCTACCCTGTGGAGCTTCAATAGGCATATCAGGGATAACAGATGTGCAGTAACAATTACAGTATGATGAGCAGTCTGGTTGGAAGGCAAGAGAATTGGCAAGAAAATAATACCAGTAGAACTGCATTATGAAGATTTTCCTATCAATGCTGGAATATCCCATGCATTTACCAAGATAAGGAGGGCTTTTCCTGCAAGAGATCCTTGGGACAGCAGCTGCTACATTCGCACCTCCTTCTTTGGGAGGCAGACCAGATGTCCTAAGACTGGCAGTTTCTTCTCTGGGACCCCTTAGGAAAAGGGAGAGCTAGAGCGCCCCTCCTCAAGATCTTCCTCAAGGTTCTAGACTGAGTCCATGTGGTCACAGGATAGGTAGCAGTGTGCAGGGCCCTGGGTTCAGCAGAGGCTACATGGGGGGTGGGAGTTTATCCTGGAATGAGGCCAGAAAGTGTCAGTGATAGGGAAGGGTGCCCGGAGCCATGGAATGCTGCCTGTGGTCAGCAACAGCTTCAGTTTCAGACTCTGTCTAGGTTGGAGACTGACTTCCAGTACCAACACATCTCTCTGCCCTGGTCCCATTCCAGAGCACTCTGCACTGCCTGGTTTTCTTCCATTGATTTAAGAGTGCCAGAAACCTCTTTCCTCCACTAGAAAGCAGGGACTATATCCTATTTAGCCTTATATTCCCAGTGCCTGGGCAGAGTATCTTTATCAGGCGCTTATTCATTTAAGGAGTAGGGTCCTGGTTGGGAGAGGTTAAGGATTTGTGGAGAGATGGCATGGGAGACAGGACACGGAGGAGCGAAGGTTGGGGAGGGGTGGAATTTCTTCAGAGAAGGCTGGAAAGACAGGGGAAGGGAGGCTTATAATCGGGGCGGGGGGTTGTGGGGGACGTCTCTGGCCCGGAGGAGGAAGGGGCCGCCAGCTGCCCTCTCACTATCACCCTGTCCCACCAGGGAATTGGGGGTGCAGCCTTCACCAGCTCTGGGCCAGCTGCCAGGTCCCCGCCCTCTGCGGGATTTGCTCCTGTCCCGCCCTTCTCGGGATTTAGTCCGGCTAGCTGGGAGGTTCCCCAGCCACTGCTTCCGCCTTCGCCAGGTGAGGGTCCAGCCCAACCAAGCAGGGGTCCCGGGGCTGGGGCGGGCCGGCGGGGCAGCCTCCCTGGGATGAATCTGTGGGGCGCTGGGCCTCCCCTCTTCTCCCGGGGTTCTTCCCTTCCTCGGCAGCTGTGTTCCCTGGTGTCTTGTTTCTCCCACGCTCTCCCTTTCCCACCTTAGGTGTAGGGCCAGTTCTCTCAGGATCCTGGGGTTTCTCTTTCCCCACCCCTGCTTGCGCCCAGGTCTTAGCTCACCTCGGCGTTTCCAGCTGGGCCTAGCCTCCGGTCTTCCCTTCCTCCTGGTCTAACTGAAGTGGGGGAAGGGAGGGGTCCAGGTATGTGTCAGGGAAAGTGCAGCAGCCAGTACCCAGAGCACCTGAAGCCTTGTTTAATAAAGGTTGGTGGAGTTGCCTTGGAGCCAAGTTAGACTGAGTGAGTCAGGCTGCGGGCAGGGATCTGTACCTGGAGCCGAATTCAGGTGGGTGTGCATGGGACTGTGTGCCTGGCAGCCTAGGTGGCTCTGTAGGCAGCTCCTGAGCTTAGTGGCTCAACACAAATGCCCCATTTGATTCCAAACGTTGCTGCCTGGGGTGTGCAAAGGGCAATGGCACTGGACTGAGATCTCTAGGTTGCGGGGACAGTGAACCCGTATAACTCAGGGATGTGTGGACACTGTGCCTTGCTGTCTTGTGTGTGGTGTTCACGTGGACCTTGGCATCTCAGACGTGAGGGGTGGTGTATTAGGCATCTTTGGTGTGTGGAGGCCGTGAACCACCACTTCTCAAGTACATAGATGTGAGAGAGTGTGTGGCAGTCAGTCTGGGCTGTTGGTGGCAGCAAACCGGAATGTCTCAGCTCTGAGAAAACATGTACCCGGGTGTCGCAGGTGTGTTTTACAGCATATCTATAGGTCTCAGTATGTGTGTGTGTGGCAGTGTGTGGGAGGTAGTATACCTTCATGTGTGTGTGCTCTTGTATCTACATATCTGAGCTGTGGTATGGTTAGTGTATCTGGACATCTCCAGTGCACGTGTGTGTGATGAGGGGAACTGCTTCATGTTTGAGGAGGGGAAGGTGTCTCTGGTGTATGTATGTGCAGTTGTGTAGCTCGGGTCTGAAAGGGTGGCGTATCTGGGTGTCCTAGGGGTACAGGTCAGTGTGGCCTTAGTATCTCAGGAGGGGGGCCACACCTGGAGTCTGTAGTATGAGTAGGCAGTATACTCAAATCTCAGGTGAGAGGAGGGCGGGTTGCTTAGTGGTGAAGGGGTGGAGTACCTGGAGGCCTCGGGCATGGAGGGTGTTCTTCCAAGGGTTTGTGTGTGAGTGGCAGGGATCCTGGCTGTCTCTGATGTGTGCCTTCCTCTGCACCTGAGTGTCTTGAAGGCTTGAGGGTGGAGCTGTAGAGCCTGTGTCTGGTGTCTGAATGTCTCAGGTGCCTATCCTGGGCTATACATCTGAACGAGAGTGCCAACATCCTTCTCCAGACATGCTCCCTGAAGCCAGCTCCCCGTGGCTACTGCGGCTGCTCCGGGACATCCAGCTGGCCCAGTTTTACCGACCCATCCTTGAAGAGCTTAATGTCACTCGGCCAGAGCATTTCGACTTTGTAAAGCCTGAGGACCTGGATGGCATTGGCATGGGTCGGCCTGGTGAGGGACCCCTGCCGGGAGGCCCTGATCTCTCCTTCTCCAGCCTACCAGTTGCCCGCCCCACCCCCTACCCCCCAGCCCTCTTCTTGCCTGTAAATCTCTCTGCACCCTGCCCCACCCCCACCTCCACCCCAGCCCTCTGATTCTGGCCTCCCACAGCCCAGCGCAGACTGGCTGAAGCTCTGAAGAGGCACCGTTCGGGGCTCAAGTCTAAGAACTGGGTCTACAAGGTGTGTGTGAAGAGAGAACTTAGACTTGGGAATGTGATGGGCTGAGTGGCGGGAGGGGAGGATGCAGGATTCTGCATACCTGATTTCCCATCAATTTCAGATCCTTGGGGGTTTTGCTCCTGAACAGAAGGAACTTACCCCGCCCTCGGACAGCCCACTGTGCCTCCCTGAGCCAGAGGGGGGGCTCAAGTGTCTGATCCCAGAAGATGCGGTGTGCAGAGGGGAGCTGCTGGGCTCCGGCTGCTTTGGTGTGGTGCACCGAGGGCTGTGGACACTGCCCAGTGGCCAGAGTGTGAGTTTCCAGGGGGCCTGATTCAGCCAGGGTACCTGTGCCAGCTGGCCCCTCTGTTCTTCATACCCTCTCTGCTCTGGCCCTGGCATGGCTGTTCTCCAGGGTACCTGATGGTGCTCCCCTCCATCTCCAGGTCCCAGTGGCTGTCAAATCCCTCCAGGTAGGCCCCAAAGGCCCAGTGGGCACAGAGCTGGGGGACTTCCTGAGAGAGGTGTCAGTGATGATGAACTTGGAGCACCCACACGTGCTGCGTCTGCACGGCCTGGTACTGGGCCAGCCTCTGCAGATGGTGAGCAGATCCGGATGCTGGTGCCCCGGCAGCCCCGGCAGCCCGGGCGCTGGAGTGTGGCAGGAAGGTGGGCGGCAAGAGTCCCTTGGGGCGGGACCACAGCTCACGCAGCGCCGTGCTCTGCAGGTAATGGAGCTGGCGCCACTGGGCTCCCTGCACACGCGCCTGACGGCCCGGGCTCCTACGCCCCCGCTGCCGGTGGCCCTGCTCTGTCTCTTCCTGCGGCAGTTGGCGGGGGCCATGACGTACTTGGGGGCCCGCGGGCTAGTGCACCGAGACCTTGCTACCCGCAACCTGCTGCTGGCTTCGCCGCGCATCATCAAAGTGGCCGACTTTGGTCTGGTGCGGCCGCTGCGCGGCGCCCGGGGCCGCTACGTCATGGGCGGACCCCGCCCCATCCCCTATGCCTGGTGAGTACGGCCCCGTGGGTGGTCGCGCTCCGCGTGGAGGATCTGAAGGGCAATAGCTAAGGCGGAGGGTGGAGAGGATGGCCTGAGGGAGGCTGGAACGAGAGAGATTACCCTCTTTGGACATGAGGACTTCTGAGGAGGGTGGGAGCAGGAAGGCGAGGAGGTGCCCTGCGGAAAGTGAGCTCCCAGGGGCACATATCCGGCCCCCTGAAGCTCCACTTCCTTCGGCAGGTGTGCCCCCGAGAGCCTGCGCCAGGGAGCCTTCTCATCTGCCTCGGATGTGTGGATGTTTGGGGTGACGCTGTGGGAGATGTTCTCTGGGGGCGAGGAGCCCTGGGCCGGAGTCCCTCCATACCTCATCCTGCAGCGGTTGGAGAAGGACCGAGCCCGGCTCCCTAGGCCTTCCCTCTGCTCCAGGGCCCTCTATGCCCTCGCCTTGAACTGCTGGGCCCCCCATCCTGCTGACCGGCCTAGCTTTTCCCACTTGGAGGTGCTGCTCCAAGAGGTGGGGACTCCCACCTCCCCAGATACACACAGTCTCTCTTCCCTCCATTCTCTCTCCCAGGTTTCTATGCACAAGACTAACACATCCAGATGCCTGTGCTGGGCTCTGGGACCCAGCTCTGAGCAAAACACATTCAGTCTCTATCAGCAGGGAGCTCAGAGCCCTGAGAGGCAATTGGGGTTAGTTACATAGATGCAGGCTGAAGGTATGGGTTCTGTGTCTGGGCCAGAAAAGGGGCACAGAGGAGACAGCAGTCGGTTGCAGTGGGTGTTTGATAGGCAGAGGAAGAGAAGTTCAGTGTGGGAGGGACATACAGAAATAATGAGGCTGTAGATGAGCAGGGGCTGTGTCACTGAGGGTTTTGTAGGCATGTTAAGTAACACTAGCTAACACGTACAGCACTTGACCTGTGAGAGATACTGTACATGGATCCTTACACAGATTCACTCATTTAATCCTCTCAGCAACCCAGTAATTGTTATTATATCCATTTTACCCATGGGCCAGTTGAGGTACTGACTGTTAAGTGACTTGCCTAACACACAATAAGTGGAGGAGTAGGGATTTGAGCCAGTCAATTTAACTTTAGAGCTGTTCCCTAAATCACTACACTCTACTGTTAAAACTTTAGTCTTTACTCTGAGGTTATCTGGAAGCCATGGGAAGGTATTGAGCAGGGGAATATGTATATATATATTTTTAGTCAGAGTCTCACTCTTGCTTCCAAGTAGCTAGGACTACAGGCATGCGCCACCATGCCTGGCTAATTTTTTGATTTATTGTAAAAACAACGTCTTGCCAAGTTGCCCAGGCTGGTCTCGAACTCCTGGACTCAGGCAATCCTCTCACCTCTACCTCCCAAAGTGCTGGGATTACAGGTGTGAGCCACTGTGCCCAGCATGAGCAGGGCAATTATCTCCCAACTTTGCACGTACATCGCTCTGGTGTGGTGCAAGAATGGACTAGAGAGGTGATGCTGAGGAAGGGAAGACCAGATAGGCAACAGTAGCTTGAAGCCGAAGTGAGATGACGTCTGGATGAGGGTTGAGACAGTGGGGCTGAAGCAGAATGGAAATTTCCCAGGGGTGCTTGGGAGGTAGATCTGATAGGCCTAGGCGTGAAGTAAAAGTGAGGTACGGGATGATTCTCCCCTCAGTTCCCCTTAGGTAGACAGCGCCCTCCTCTGTTGCTCCCTGAACCCTGAGCAATGTGCAGCTTGGCATGGGATCCAGGTCAGCCACCCCCATGGATTGCAACTGGAGAATAGGGAAAGCTCTGCCCTGGGCCCAGCACAAACAAACCTGGTATGGGTTTGACTGGAGGGTACACAAACAGAGCGGGGAGGGGTCTTTTTTCTCCGCTGCTCCTATATTACCTTTCTGACTCAGGCCATAAGGAGAGCTACCCTTTCTCCCTGTCTCCATAGGCTTGGCCTTCTGAGGGATGCTGTGTAAGGGATGTCACAGAGCCAGGTGCCCTGAGGATGGAACCCGGTGACCCCATCACCATCATCGAGGGCAGGTAACAGCCCCATGCCTCCCAAGCATTCTCAGGAGGAGGATGCCCTCCCAGCCTTCCTGACTCCTGGTCCCTCTCTGCTTTTCCCCAACTCCTTGAACCCTGATCTGTCTCTTCTCCTCCTTTCCCGCCAGGCCCCTGAGAGCTCCAGCAATCCTGGCCTTCCTGCTGGGGCCACCACTGACTCCTGGAGCCCTACTGTGTTAGGCAGAAGGCCTCCCTTCCTCCAGGCAGATATGGCTCCAAGGCACACAGCCTGGCTGGCTGAATGTGGGCTAGAGCCCAGAACCCACTCTTTCCTTGCTCCTATCCCCTTCACCAGCTCCTCTTCCCACAGCCCTGACTCCACAATCTGGAAGGGCCAGAATGGCCGCACCTTCAAAGTGGGCAACTTCCCAGCTTCGGCAGTGAAGCTGGCAGACTTGGGGGGCTCACCGGCCTCCCGTCCAGTCTACAGAGGCTCTCCTGCCTTGGGAGAGCAGCAACAAGGAAGCATAGATGGGTAAGGACCTGAAAGGGTGGGGACAGAGCTGGGCTGGGGAACCCACCAAGTCCAACAACTTCTCTGGAAGGGAAGCTTAGGGACAGGACTGGGGTGAAGCTGGAGGTGAGGCTGTGTCTCCTGGAGTTCCTTTGGAAGGGGACATTGATATGTGGGATGGGGGAGGACTGGTGTGAAGATTAGCTGGATTACTCTCCAACAGGGACAGAAGGAAAGCAAAGCTTCGGGAACTACCTGTAGCACGAGACCAGAGAAGGAATGTGCCCCTACAGAAGATGAAAGGTGAGAGTCTCTGAGATCAAGAACAACCCTCCGATTCTGCTCCCCTGCCCTGAATCCATACCCTTGAAGGTATGACTTCCTTCCTCTAAATGTTGTCTGTTGGCATCCTAGCTGTACTGTGAGATCTTAAGAGAAATGAGGCTCCTGTGCCTTCCTGACTGAACAGCACCTTCCCACTCTGGCCCCTGAGCTCTGTTTTTGGGCCCTCAGCTGCCTAGGCTTTGGCGTCCATTTGCACACCTGTCTTACTGTCCCATCTAACACATGGACAACTACGCAGATAGGACCAGCTAGCTCATCTGCGAGTGCTTGCAAACCATCCAGCTCAGCACAGATGAAGACATAGAGCAAGAAGAAGGCAGGACCTAGCATCTGGGCCTCCTCTCAAGTTGTTTCTTTCTCAACTGCGCAGGCATTTCAAAGAGTCTGGAGTCAGTCCTGTCCCTGGGCCCTCGCCCCACAGGGGGTGGTTCGAGCCCCCCTGAACTTCGACCAGCCAGAGCTGTGACCCAGGGACCCCCAGGCCTGCCTCCACGCCCAACTTTTGCCTCTAGCTCTTCTCAGCCCAGCCCGCCCCCTAGGGAGCGACCTCCCTGGCCCAAAAGAGAACCCCCACACAATCACCCCATGGGAGCGCCTGGAGCCAATAAAGCCACTGTTCCTTCTGGAGGCCTCTTGCCCAACCCTGAGTTGCAGAGGAAGATTATAGAGGTGAGGTCTCATTAAAATGGCCTGGTGTCCAGAAAGGCTACAGGCTGGGGTGAGGGCCTGAGTGAGGCTTTGTCCCCCACAGGTGGAGCTGATGGTCCATGGAGTCACCCACCAGGAATGCCAGGTGGCACTAAGAGCCACTGGAGGAGATGTGGTTTCTGCCATCCGGAGCCTCAAGGTAAGGCCAGGCCCTTCTCTTGTGGTCCCTTCTCGCCTGCCCCTGGCACCTGGCAGTCAGCTGCCCGCCCTCCTGCATCCACAGGTGGACCAGCTCTTCCACCTAAGTAGCCGGTCCAGAGCTGACTGCCGACGCATCCTGGAGCATTACCAGTGGGACCTCTCAGCTGCCAGCCGCTACGTCCTGGCCCGGCCCTGAGCTCAGCTTCCTTGAGCAGGGGCACCAGCATGGAAAGCCTGGGCTCCTCAGGGCCTAGCCATGTGGGACTGAGAAGAACCAGGACAGGGTCCTGACTGGGGGGAGCCCAGGGACGAGACTTTCCTGACAACCTTGTTGCTTGGCCTCTGAGGGCTCAAGCTCCTTTGACTACCAAGAAGGATCTAGTCCACTCTGCCCACTATATTTTCAAACACGAGGAGGATGTAGAGGAAAAAGGCTGCTACACATCATATCCAGAGGAAGCTTCTACTTGCTACAAAGAATGATCAAATGGCTATAATGAACCATGGCAAGAGCCCTCCTGAACTGCCATCAGCTACCACACTGGACTCTGTGGGGCAGCCATTCTGGATGATGAAGGCAGTCATATTGACTTGGGGCACATGGCCCCAACTGCCTTGGTTTGGTCCAGGGCCATCAGGGGTGATGACACTGCTCTCTTGGACTCAAGGACTTTCGATCTTGGTAGCACGGATTATGAAACAGGCCAGTCCCTGTCCCAGCCCAGCCATCACATTCCCCTTTGTTTTTTCCCACGCCAACTCTTTCTTCTACCCTCTCCCATTACATACATCTTCCAATGTCCAAAAAGTTACAAAGTTTATATGAACATAACATACAAAGATGCAGCCTCCTTCCTGGGGCAAGAGAAGGAAGGGGTGGTTAAATAAGGCACAGGAAGCTGCAGCAAGCACCAGCTGTGGGCAGGGCCCAAGGGGGAGAGGAAGTTGGCACTGGGGCCCCACCACTACAGCTGTTGGTAGGGAGGTGGGGACCTTCTCAAAGTGCCATGGTCTGAGGCTGAACTAATTGGCCAAGCTGATGCAGGGGAAGGGTGACTACATCTGCCATCTTTGGTGCTGCTTGCCCTTCCCTACCCCAGCCCTGTTGTACAACTCCAGAGTCCTGGGTTCCAAAGGCCTCCTCTGGAGCAGAGGTCCTGGAAGGGGGTGGGAGGTGGTGGGTAGGGAAGGTTTGAAAGCCTATATGCCTGTGTGCTGAGGGACTGCTGGGACAGTGGTGGGAGGTAGCAGGGGAAGGCTCTCATACATACCCTTCCGTGGGGACCACAGGGGCAGGAGGCCAAGAAGTAGGGTAGGGATGGGGCTCCCCCATCTGTCCCCTGCAGTGTACACGGAGGAACGGGGCTGCCTCTGAGGAAGGGCCAGGGCAGGTGACCATCTTGAGTTCTGGTTGAGGCGATGGTCTCCTCACACCGAGGTGACCTCTAACTGGTAATGGCAGAGGGCCCGGCACCTCCTCGCTTCTCGAAGAACATGTAGTCCTGAGAGGAGACCACTGTCAACAGGAGATCCGGCTGGGCCAACTTGGCTCAGCTGTCACAACCCAGGTCTGGAACCTCGACTCCCCAAAACATCTGGCCCTAACCTTCCCCTAGCAAGAGGCCGGGAAGTGCACAAAGCTTCAGTGACAGCAAAGGAGAGGCAGGAGGGGAGGGGCAGGAGCAGCCAACTCACAATGAGAAATGTGGCTCCCAGTAGCACAGCCTTCACCTTCACGTCCAGGTCCAGCGGGAACTGCAGGCCAAAGTCATCAGCATCTGTGAGGGCTTCTCGGAGGAGCCCCCCCCACTGTTTGCTGATTCGGCCCACACTTCGGGACTCATCCCTCGTCTTCACCTGTTAGGAGAGAGGACGGAAGATAACTGGAGAGGAAGTGACTGTTCTCACCTGCCTCCAATTTCACTCCCAATCGCTGTCGCCATGTATGATTTTTGCAGGCTCCACACTCAGTGAATTCTCCCATCCAGAGATCACTGAATTATTTCTTTCCCAATGGGTTCCCATCACAGAATGTGACAGCTAGGGAAACTGAGGTACCCTAGGTCACACTGTGAGTCTTCAGCAAAAATCAGGATTCAGACTCAGACCTGTTGCTATCCAAAGGCCATAAATGACATAATTGAACATCAGTGATGGGAGAAATGGAAGCATGATATATCTCATCTATATGGCTGTTTGCTAGGTTTGCTTTGGTTCCCAATGTCCCTGCCACCCACAGTTGGCACAGTTTGTGCCCCGCACAAAGTAATCTGGCTGAGAGGGCAAAGAAAGCTGCTGAAATCCTGGCTGAATTTACTAGCCAAGTAGGCTCCTCAAAGGCTATGTCTTCCTAAGGAGTGCCTTTTTTCTAACCTTCAAAGTACAGGAGGGCCCTGTCCAGCATTGTTCACAAGTCTCATCTAGAGGGGATCCAAGCCTATCTATTGGCGGGGGAGCAATAAGGAGTCTTTGAGGACCACTGGCCTCTCTGAACCCAGCAAGCAATAGGCCCTGCCGATGTGGGTGGTAACTAAAGCTAACAGTGACTTCCTGATCCTTCTCCTATGTTTATTCTCTAGTAACTAGAACTAGAATCACATAGAAGTGATTTCCCTCTATGTTCTTCCCAAGCCCTTCCTTCACTGTCCTACAACTCTGGGACATGTCCTGCAGCCCAGTCCCAGGCCAGGCAGGGCCTCTCCCAGCCAGCCTTGTGATTCCAAGGGTGCGGACCCAAGTATGGACCACTCATAATTATGTAAAAGGGACACTGGCCCTATGAGAACCCCACAGTTCACACATTCCCATCCAGAGATACCTTTCCAAACCAGTTCTCATCACAGAAGCCCTGTCTGGCTACCCAGGTGACTCATTTCTTAAAAGTAACCTTAGACAGCACACCTCATTAGAAGTGTTGGAGAGTCTACTGAATTATACCTGTAGTTTTTCCCTTATCTGCCCAGGGAATTATCCCTTAAAAAACTCAAAGGTGGCCAGGCACAGTGGCTCATGGCTGTAATTCCAGCACTTTGGGAGGCAGAGGCAAGAGGACTGCCTGAACCCAGGAGTTCGAGACCAGCCTAAGCAACATGGTGAGCCCTTGTCTCTACAATAAATAAAAAAATTAGCCAGGCATGATGGTGCACACCTGTAGTTCCAGCTACTTGGAAGGATGAGATGGAAGGATCGCCTGAGCCCAGCAAGTCAAGGCTGTGATGGCTGTGAGCATGCCACTAAACTCCAGTCTGGGTGACAGAGTGAGACTCTGACTCAAAAACAAAACAAACAAAAAAACCCTCAAAGGTCTGTAGAGTGCCTTTGTCTTCTAGAAACCAAAGTGCTTCCCAAGACTTACTTTTTAAAAATTTTTTATTTTTTTTAGTTGGAGTCTCACTCTGTCACCCAGGCTGGAGGGCAGTGGCACGATCCCGGCCACCACAGCCTTGACCTGCTGGGTTCAGGCAATCCTTCCACCTCAGCCTTCCAAGCAGCCAGAACTACAGGTGCGCGCTACCAGGCCTGGCTAATTTTTTTATTTATCGAAGTGATGAGGTCTCACCAAGTTGCCTAGGCTGGTCTCGAACCCTCAGGCTCAGGCAATCCTCTCACCTTGGCCTCCCAAACTGCTGGGATTACATGCATGAGCCACTATGCCCAGTCTCAAGCCTTACTTTTAAATTCTTACCACTTAGCATTTCCAGGCTCTGGGTTGGTGGTAGGAATGCAAGGTGGACCTCATGGGGGAAATTTTGGACTTCTAGGCTGGCAGGGCAAGCCATGGGATGTTAACATGTTAATTTAGTGCTTGCTCCAGGGCCTGGACTTACAAACTCATGCATAGGAGACACATGGGTCCAGCCCACAGAGACTTAATCATCCTTCATCCTAAATTCAGGTTGGCCACAGATTTTTTTCCCTACTCAGGGCTGTGTATAACAGTCAACATTGACTAGATATAGTGGCTCACACATGTAGTCCCAGCTACTTGAGAGGCTGAGGTGAGAGGACTGCTTGAGCCCAGGTATTTGAGGTTACAGTGACCTATGATCGTGCTACTGCACTCCAGCCTGGGCAACAAAGGAAGACCCTGTCTCTAAAATTAAAAAATCACCAGGCAGGGTGGCTCATGCCTGTCATCCCAGCACTTTGGGAGGCAAGAAGATTGCCTGAGAACAGGGATTCAAGACTAGCCTGGGCAACTTGGTGAGACCTCGTCTCTACAATAAAAAAAAAAAGAAAAAAATTAGCTGAGTGTGGTGGCACACACCTGTAGTTCCAGCTACTTGGAAGGCTGAAGCAGAAGGATCCCTGAGCCCAGCAGATCAAGACTGCAGTGGCCATGAGCTTGCCACTGCACTCCAGCCCGGGCAACAGAGTGAGACTCCTACTTAATAAATCAATAAATAATAAAATTAATCAGTATTGGTTCTTAAGATGAAATCTTCTTTGCCATGCTTTTATAAGACCATAGGGCTATCCTGCTTCCAAGTGGAGGAAAACTGAAAATGTAGTAAGGAGTCACAGTGGATTTGGATTGATAAGCTCAGAATCTTGACCTTAATGTTGGCCAACTTGCTCATACAAGCTGCCGTCTTTGTTTTATGAAGGTCTCAGGAATCTCCCTGTATTCTTGATACCTCAAAATTAGTGTCTGTACCACAGCCACAGGTCCAGCAGGGTCCCACGACTCGCAGGACTGTCTGGCGATCAGCATCCTGGATGGAGAACTTAGGGAGGAAGGGATGCCAGGTCTGTAGCACGTGGCCGATGGTGGTGCCTGGTGGAGCCTGTACTTCCATCTGGAGTGGGAAGCAGACAGGGTTACTGCTAGACAGGGCACCCTGGTCCAAGGGCTCACTGATTCCAGCTCTATCATATGTTTACTTGGTCCCCTCACTTAACCTTCCATCCCCACCAGCTCATACCCTCCCTAGCCATGCCTCATTTAGTGCTGACCCCATCACTGTCCCACCCCATCAAATCTTGCCCTCTATGGGAGCCTGCCCCAGGGGACCCCATCCCTCCTGCCCACCTCCTGGAGGCCGCAGGGACAGCAACTGCAGCCACAGTGGAGAGGGCGTAGCAAACGCAGCACTTCCCGGTCCCCAGGGTCAGCCAGACGGACACGCAGTGGCCGGCGGGCACCACAGCATAGACGGGCGCAGCAGTTGCTCTCTTCTGCCGCCTGACCCAGGGGCTGCCCGGCCCCTGAGCGAAGTTCATACCGGTTACAGGCCTCCCAGCCTAGGAACGCTGCCAGGGGTGATACACTGAGACTCAGATGCCTCATCTGCCCAGGAGCCCACCATCCCTGCCACTTCCTCCTCCTTCCACTTACTTTCCACTCGCTCAGCCTTCTGGTGAATCAAGATCTGATCAATCTGGAAAGAGAGTTGGAGGGGCAGGCATCAGCTGGTCCCATCCCGATGCCCAGGTCCCCTCCCGGTCACCCTCCCTCCCTCCCACTCACCTGCACCAGGAATTCGAGACCAGAAGGCACTCCTGGCAGTGGCAAGAAGGGGGCAGCAGACCCCGGGGCCGCGGGGCCGGGAGAAGGGAAGAGAGCGAAGCCTGGCGCAGGGGCAGGTACCTGGGCCGGCACTGGTGCCTGCCCGGGCCCAGGATGCAACGCCGGCTCCGGGTACCCAGCGGTCACAGGGTAGGGAGGTGGGGGCGAAGGGGCGTAGCCTTTCGGGGGCAAGTAGCCTGTGGGGTTGGGGAACACGAGTAGATTACAAAGGGACCTAAGGCCTCATCCTTCTATTCTTCAGCCCACGGGCCACGAGGCTAATGTGGTGGGAAGAGGCGGAGAAAGATGGGGCAGGGGAGCAGGGCGGAGGCTCCTCAGAAGGAAGGGAGGGGCCCCACCCAGCCAGTCCGAGCACATTCTCGGAGGATGTGTTCGACACCCGGCTTCCGAGTCCGTGGGGGGATAACGGAGACCCCAGGCCCTGCGAACACTCACCTGCCATGGGAAAGGGGCTGGGGTTTTCAGGATGTTGATGTCCGGGTGCCTTGGTTCTGGAAGTGGAGGCAAGCTCGGAGACAGCCAGACAGACACAGAGACAGACACAAAGACGGACAGGCAAACGCGGAGAGGCAGCTGCGCCCGGCGCCGGCCCAGGGTCTCTTGGGCGGCGCCTCTGACTCGGGGAGAAACCGAAAGTGTCAGTGGGCGGGGCAGGGTACCTGGGACCCTGGATTCCCTCAGGGGCCCCAGAACCGCCCCCTCCCTTTGTTCTCCCATTCTCTGCAAAGGCGGCTGTTGGTGGACTGCAGGAAAGACGGACCTGCGGTCAGACCGACGGCCTGATCTCGAGGGAGGTCTCCCTGACCCCTCTGTGCCCCCGCTCACCTGAAGCCCCCAGGACAGCCCGGGTGCCGCGCGCTCGGCGCTCGCGGGAGCTGGCGGAGGCGGGCCTGGGTTGTGGCTCCGCCCCTCGACCCGCTCAGGCCCCGCCCCTCCCGGCTGGGCGGCGCGTCTGCGCAGAGGCTCTGCCGCCTCCTCTCCCCCGGGGCCGCGGGCCCTGGACTTTGCGCTCCCCAGCGTCGCCGGCTCCCCGCCCCTTCCGCTCCGACTGCAGATGCCCAGAGAGGAGGAGCCGCCGGAGAGGGCAGCGGGCTAAGCCTGGCCCTGCGACCCCGCCGGGTCCGCGGGCACTGCGTGCCCAGCGCCCCTGAGGCGGGGCGGGCGAGGGAGCCTGCGCTGCGATCCCGCAGCCGGGCCGCGCTGGACCCCGGGCTCCTCCTCCCAAGGGCTGTTTGGGCCTCGCTGACGCAGCGGAACACCCTTGACACTCACGCATTGGCTTCCAGGGCTGGCTCCTGGCTCCCTTCCTGCCTCCCAGGGGCGGCCTCACCGTCTGCTCTCCCTGACGCAGCGATGACCCGCACACTCGCTCTCACAGCCACGGGGGTGACAGGCCGCCCGTATCGGAGTGCGGGTGCGCGAGGTGAGGCTCAGGGGAGCCAGAGGAGAAAACGCGATCAGAAAAGGCTTCCCCAAGAGGAGTCTCTGGGCCGAGGGAAGTCCACAGGTGTGAGGAAGTCCTGCGCCTTGGGAGCCGCTAGCTAAGTGGCACAGAGATGAGTTTAGAGAGTGCCGTCCACATGCACTCTCTCGTGGGGCCTTGTGGGTGCTGGGATTTTGCCCCAAGGGCGGCGAGGAGAAAAATTTCAAGACGAACAGAGGTCAAATGTGTGTTTTAAAAATATCGTTTCCGGCTGGGTGCGGTGGCTCACACCTGTAATCCTAACACTTTGGGAGGCGAAGGCAAGAGGATTGCCTGAGCCCAAGGGTTTGAGACCAGCTTAGCCAACTTGGTGAAACCTCCTCTCTAAGATAGATAGATAGATAGATAGGATAGATAGCCAGACGTGGTGGTGCTCTCCTGTGGTTCCAGCTACTTGGATGGCTAAGGCGGAAGGATCACCTGAGCCCATGAGGCTGTGGTGGCTGTGAGCATGCCACTGTACTCCAGGCTGGGCAACAGAGTGAGACTCCAACTCAAAAAAAGAAAAGAAAACACACACAAGAAAGATCATTCCAACCACAATATTGAGAACAATGTTGGCAGTAGTCTAGGGGAAAGGATGGCCATGGTCGTGGTAGTGCAGGAAGAAGTGGAGACTTTAGAGATACTTTAGACAATAATATCTAGGCACCAGGTAGATGGGGGTGTCACTTACCAAGATGAGCATGAGAAGAACAGGTTTGGGAGCCTCCATCTGCCCCTATGTCTCTGGGCTGGGCCCCTCTCCCTGGGCTTTTTAGCTCCTCCCACAGCTTCAGTCACTTATCTGCTCCAGAACCAAATGCCTGACCTCTCCCCTGGTACCCTTTAGTGCCTCTGACTCCACCTGGTCCAAACCATGAGCCAGCTTCCACCAAAACACATAAACACAGAAATTCGGTTATCCAACAGAGATTTAGTGAGCATCTACTATATGCCCGTGTTTGAGGTGATGGGACTGTATAGGAAAATTAAAAAGGACAAATTTCTGACCACCTGGAGCTTACACTCTAGTGGAAAAGAGCCAGATAATAAGGAAATAAAATAAATGGGAAGTCAGATGGTGAGAAGTGCCATGAAGAAAATAGAGCAGGATAAGGAGGACAGGGAATGGTGGGCAGGGTTGCAGCTTAAGAGGCAGACTAGACCAGCCTGGGCAACTTGGCGAGACCTCATCTCCACAATAAATAAAAAATTAGCCGGGCGTGGTAGCACACACCTGTAGTTCTGGCTACTTGGAAGGCTGAGGCAGAAGGATCGCCAGAGCCCAGGAGGTTGATGCTGGGGTGGCCACAGAACCCCAGCCTGGGCAACAGAGTGAGACTCCAACTCAAAAAAAAAAAGAGGCAGACTAGGAAGGCATTACCAAGAAGATGGTAGTTGAGCAAAAACCTGAAGGAGTTGAGATATTAAACTATACAGACTTCTGGGTAAAGCAAGTGTTTCACACAGAGGAAACAGCAGAAGTGTGCCTTACTTGTTCAATGAACCAAAAGACCAGTGAAGCTAGTATGGAGTTAGTGAGGGAGAGGTTACAGAGGTCACAGGAGGCCGGATCGTACATAGTCTTTTAGACCATTGGATTATACCCTGAGATGGGAAAGTGTTGCAGGGTTTAGATATGAGACTTTCACACTACAACAGTGAATCTCCAACCTGGCCACATATTAGAATCATCTGTGGTGCTTTAAAAAACACATCTGGAGGTGAGTGGATTGCCTGAGCCCGCGGGTTCAAGACCCGCCTGGGCAGCAAGACCTCATCTCTACAGTAA